TGTCTGTGTCATTATTAAAATTGGCCTTTCAAGGCAACAACCCCACCATTGCTCTCTCCCATCTCTCCATTTCCCCAGCACAGACTCCCTCCTGCTCTGGGGCCACAATATGCAATTCCAACAGCAGAAAGGGACACATTTGCATCCAAATTGATGTGTTTGCAACTGAATCTTGATCCTGCCCAGTCCTCCGTGCTCCAGGGTGGGAAGTAATAATCCATGGCCAAGGGATGCTGATGCTTGGCTCCCTGAGTCTGGTCTGCAGAGTGGCTGAAAGAAAATGAGCTCCCAGTGAAGGGATGCAGATGTTTGGAAATAATTCAGGAGGCCGTACTCTTTTTGGAAATCGGAAGAAATAAAGAATCCAAGACCATGGAGATGCCAAGCTGACTGCTGCAGTGGTTTGCAATGTCTGAGCTGCAAGGCCTGGCATGTATGGAAATATAGTGCTGTACTTCATGTGGGGGATACAATGCCCCAGGAAAGGGGAAAAGCCCTACATGGTGCCACTGAGACTGTTCCTGCCACAGCACAACTGGGATGAGGATCATCTGCCMCTGGCATGAGCACCTGAATAGCTGGCACTGGGGGACAAGGATGCTGTGGGGCTCAGGGGAAACCAGGGCAGCTATCACAGCACAGRGCCAGGGCTTTGAGCTGAAAGAGGAATAAGGAGGCTCAGAAGGAGCAGCTGGAGGATTCCTRGATTTGGTGAGAGGTGAAGAGTGCATTGTGAATTTGGATAACTGCAGGGCGGTGTTCTAGCATATGCAAGGCTGGGAAGCAGGAGCTGGGCACTCTCCACACCTCTGCAACGGCTTCCACTTCATTTATCTCCAGTGGCTGGCTCAGCTGCAGGACAAGGGCAGGTTGCAGTCCCTGTCAGCCTGAATTTGTTTAGGGATACACGTGGGAATGGCCGAGGGGCACAGAGCAATGTGATGTGAAGTAGAAAATGAAACAGATGTGATCCTGATTGCAGCCTGCATGCAGAGCTGCTCTTGTTTGAGTRCACAGCCTCCAGCCTGGTGCTGGTCATTGTCACCTTCCTGCAGGAAGGACCAGCTGGGGAGGCTCCATCAGCAAGAAAAAGGTGGCTGACAGAWGACACTGAGAAGGACTTGGCCTTCCAAGCAGGTTTCTTTCCCAAAACAACCTCAAAGAGCTTGGCCATGAAGACCAACCTCCTTGCTGGTCGCCAAAGCTTAAAAAAATCCTTTTTATTGCAGCATTTGTCATCCATAAAAATGTCTGGCTCTTGCCAAGCAGTTCTTCGATAGAAGCATGAAGGGGATGGGTTCCACAGGCCAACTGTGTGCACCTTGGAAAGGTATTTCCTCTCCTGGTCAGCTTGCCAGYTCCTGCCCAGTGCTCCTGTGTCTTCATTCATGAGTTCAGACGGGGCTCACACAGTCCCATCATCCAAACTGTGCTATTTCAAGGGMCAATACATTATTAATTTTCTCCTCAGGGATTTAATGGATATTTTCTTAATTTCTCCTATGAAGAATAACCTGGACGTTGCTGGCTGGCCAAGGAGGACACCTGTGGTGTCACTCTGTCCCAGACATGTGACCCTCAGGGCTCTTCTCCAGCACTGACCTCACTGTTCCTCACCCCTGCAGTCTCCACAGCTCTTTCTTTCCCAATGCTAGTGCTAGAGGTGGGCAGGAGACTCATTCCCAAGATCCTTGGTGTATGGGACTCCAAGCCATGTGTGTCCGAAGTGGCGTGTGAGGAAAGGTGAGAGTCAGATCCTTCCCTGAACGGTCCCAGGACAAGGGCACAAGCTGCAGCAGGGGAAATCCTGACTGGAAAAGTGCAAAATCCTTCCAGCTGAGGGAGAGGAAACACTGGGTGCTCTATCCCTGGACAGTCCTTGCTCCTCAAGGAGCAAGTCCTGAGCAACCTGTCAGCCCAGCTTGCACAGAGCTGGCGTAGGAACCTTCAGATGTCCCACCCAACCAAAACCACTCAGTGATACCAGCAAGTCTTCATCTTGTCTGCAGCTGGAAGTAGAGGGGACACGGAGCTGGTGGCCAGCCAAGAGTCAGAGGCYGAGCTCCCCAGATTTAGAGGACAGCATGCTCTAGCTGGGAAGGASAGGAGAGCCAAGCAGGGCAGATCTGGCTGCAGCAGCACCAGTACCCAGCAGCCTCAACTGAGAGGAAATGCATCATCTTGTTTTCCAAAACAAGGGCAAAGGGCAAAAGATGGGCCGGGGCTGAGAAGGTGAAATCCAGCTTGGAAAGTCAGAGGGAACTTTCTCTGGCAGCTTCCTGCACATTTCAGAGTGTACTGAGCAGCCTTCCAAAGCCACGACACAGTGCTGCCGGTACCAGCACCCTCGCAGCCAGCGGGACTGTCTTGGATTGATTTTGTGCCRATCCTGTATTCCTATATTCCATCAGCTTGTATGCCCAAAAGGTGCCTGCGCCTTTCAATCTGACCCAGAAGAAGAGGCAGAGGCGGTGGGAAGGCAGTGTGGGCAGTTAAAAGCCGGGGCTGCCACGCTGCTGGGAACTTTTTGAGCTTAGCTCAGCGCTGCGGGTGTTTCTGCTCTCTATTTGCACGGAGTTACATTGTTGCCGCTCAGCTAGCTCAGGTTCCTTAGCTTTGGCAAACAGCTCTCCTTGGACTACTATCCCTTCTGCAACTCCTGTGACTTTCTGGAGCAGATGGGCAGGGCAGCGGTTCGAGAAGCAGGAGGCAAGTGCAGCCAGGTGCYGGCAGGGAGAAGCCGCACTGCTCCGTCTCATCCCRGATTCCGGAAGAAGCCAAGCCGGCTACAGAAAAGCACACCAAGGCCTCTGTTTCATTCACAGTGAGGAGAAGACTGCCACCAGATTGCCACTSTTGCCTGAGCRGCCASGTGGACTTTTTTGTTTTTGTTTCTTCTTTTTTCCCTAGGACAAGAGCCGTGCCATCTTTCTCCGCACCACATAGCYGAACGGCTGTGAGGGGAGGGGGCAGCATGCATTGCTGGACAGTTACTTTTTATCTGTGTCCTGTGGACACCTTGTTTTGTTAATAAAAATTATTTTTCTCTTCACATTCACCCAAACTCCTGTTCCATATTGGTGGGAAAAAAATTATCAAACTTTTCACTTCAAAGGAAACATTTATCCTGTAACATTTCTCTCTGAAAACATTGTCTCAAACTGAGACAGGGACAGACTGACAGCAACCCAAAACAGCGGCTCTGAGGCACCGTCAGCACTTCTCACAATGTCAAGTGCTGCAAGGGAAAAAAACTTCCTCACAAACCATGGACCAGCAGTGAGATCCCTGCTCAGTCCTCAAATCCCATTCCTGTTACATAAATTTGTGGTGGTGTGGAAAAACAATTAGGTATGGCAGTGATTTTCACAAAAAATGACCCRGAGACACACCTCAGAGCTGCTAGAGAGGGGTTATAAACCACCTCAGTTACCAGCCATGGAGCAGCCAGTGCTGCCCCGTGTACAATCCMAGGTTTAGGATTTGGGAGCTGGGAGATGGATGAGAGCCTCCAGTGTTTCCACTGCTTCACTGAGTTGGGGCTGACGACACCAAGKGCATGGCAGAGCGCTCAGGGATGGCTCCTCAGCATGGGGAGGTGTCCATTGCTCTGATCCACCAGCCCTTGGTGGATCATTTGTTGCTGTTTCCTCCACAAATACCCAGCCTTTAAACTCATTGATGAACCTGAGAACCTTTTTCTTATAGAATCTCAAATAGTTTGGATTGGAAGAGACCTTAAAGCTGATCCAGTTCCACCCCTGCCATGGGCAGGAACACTTTCCAGTATCCCAAGGTTCTCCAAGCCATGTCCAACCTGGCCTTGGACACTTCCAGGGATGGAGCAGCTTCTCTGGGCAACATGGGATTCCTTCCCAAAGTGGGGTGCAGTGACTTACTGATGAAGTTGGCCTGGCCAGTGAAGATGGTGTACTGGAGCTCATAGGAGCTGACGCTGAACTCGTCCTCGGAGATCCAGTGCACAGTGATGGTGTCATGGGAGGCCGTGCAGAGCTCCTCACGGACCGACGGTGGGTTTGGTGCTGTGGGATGGAACAGACCACACGTTTTGGTCAGTATGGGCTTTCCTTCTTTAAAAACCCAGGGCTTTTCTGCTCCTGTAAGGACTAAGATGGGCTCATGGCAGGAATAGAGTCTCGACACCACAAACTCTCTCACTTTATCTGTCATTGTGCTTCCCACTGAACTAAACTATTTAGTTTAACAAGACACCCAGAGGTCACAGCACACTGTTTTTGCTGCTGTTCCATCAGCTCTGACACCCCCAACCTGACACAGGCTGACAGCTCACTTCCCAATCCACCTATTTCCCTGCACTGGTTGTGGAATAAGTATTTTATCCCATAACTGATCTGGACATGCTTTGTGCTAATCTTTCACTGAAAGCTGATCTGCTTCACAATGATAAAATCAGATTTGGATGAGTGAGGATGTCCTCGCATCCCTGGAGCTGTCATCCCTCCAGTGCTCCAGCACAGGCTGGTCCAACAGCCGTTGCTGCTCCTGGACACCCAAGGGCAGTGATCAGTCTGTGCTGTGGCATCAGGGCAGCACCAAGGGGCCCAGGGAGGTCCTACCCACCAGTGTTCATCATTTAGGACCAAGTGACCCACAAAAAGGGCAGGAAAAGGGAAATCTTAAAGCATAGAGTGCATTACAAATATAGTAATTGGTTAATTCATTGTTCCCCCTCTGTAATCCTTTATGGACCCTTACATAATCCTTATCTCTTTTGCATCTGTATGGACATCAGGCTGCTCCCCAGGTCATGGTGACCATAATTTTTAAGCTTTCTGTACTTTCCCATGGGTCCTCCAGGAGCGGCAAGGTGAAATGGGAGGATGGGGACATGTCACATGTCCTGGGGACAGCACAGCTCCTGCTCTGCCACAGCTGACCTGGCCCTRCTTACTGGATAAGCCTTAAAACAGCCCTTGGTGTGACACAGGGCAGGAGCTTGAGGGGAAGGTACAGARGGGAGCACACCTGTGCACTCACCTGTTAGATAATCCAGCCCCTCCAGAAGCTTCTTCTCTCTGGAAAAATCTAAAGCAAAGTTTTCAAAGGCATCATTAAAATTGATGTCTGGTATGAGGACTTGCGAGGATGCAGTTGCCATGGCGACCCTGCAAGGCAAGAAGGGACCATCAATACGCAGCAGGGTGCATGCAGCTCCTGACACCGTGGTGAGGGGGACACAGGAATGGGGAGAGCCTCACCAAGATCGCCTGCTGCAGGAAACCAGCCTGCACTTACAGAGCATTTCCCCCTCCCGGGAGGATGGCCTAACCTGGGGACAGGTCCCCTGAGAGTTGGCAGGCTCCATCCCTGGGGCTGCCAGCTTTGCCTGACCCCTGAGCCAGGGATTGCCATCTCCACCACACTCCTACCCCAGGGAAGGGAGYTTGCTTCCACAGTATTGTTAGGGCCTGCCATGCACCACCTGGACTGTGAGGGGCAGGCACCTGACCCGGGGGCTTGTTWGAGGACAGCAGGGGTGGCTGGGGATCTCCAGGGAAGTGACTGGGGTGAGAYTAGGCATCTCTGGGCAGGGACCTACAACCACGGGCCCACTCCAGCATCAGTGTCCCAAGCCCAGCCCACCTCTCAGCCACGTTCCTGGCGGTCTGCAGGAACCGCGCGTGATCGTTCTCCTTGAGGATGTGCTCAGCCTGGTTGATGAGGACYGTGGAGCGCTCCAGGCACTGCCGGCAGTTGGCAACCTGCTGGGCCAGCTTCCGCAGCTTCATCACCTGTTGGAGAAACAGAGAGAGACAAAGGTGCTCAGGAGCGCAAGAGGCACAGAGGGAGCCCCATCCTGAGCYAGGAGCTGATCACAGGGAGCAAGGAACAGTGAAAGGGCACAGGAACGTCTCAGTGGCTCTGGGGATGGAGTACAGCAAAGCCCTTTCCATGTTAAATTTTGCTGAGAGTGGGAAAGCCCCAGGGAGCAGCCTGTGCCTGCTCTGAGGGTCCCTCCTCTCCTCCTGTTACCCCTCATGCCAGCCTGAAGTCAGCCCTGCCAGTCGCTCAGCACAGGGCAAGGGAACCTCAGCAACAGGGGAACCTTTTACAGAGCTGCTGGACAACATCACATTCACAGCTGCTGAACTGAACTGCTGGATGACCAAGGGGTGACRGAATCTGCACGTGCTCCCCCTCCCTTCTCCCAGGCTTTTGGAGGACATCAGCCCCAGCCCTGTGTCCCCACAGTGTGATGCTGGGCTGCTCAGACCTCACTGAGATGCCCACACTGTGGGTCCCTGCACAGAGCCACCTGCCCAGAGGCATCTGCACAGCAGGGAAAGCAGAGGAGTGGGAGGAGTGGGAAGAGSGAACACCCCCATGGTTTGACCCTCCTGCTCACCCTGGGGAGGTTTGCTGGTCCCTGGCACACCTCCTGGCRTGCCGGGAGCAGAGCAGGTGAGGCAGGTCCTGCTTGTCACACCACACGCCACCTCARGCTGCTGCCACCACTGTTAGCGGCACCAGACATGCAGCAAGAGGTCATGGACTCCAACCTTCTGCTGCCTTAGCATTCCACATGCACCACATCCAGCCAGGCCCTCCTTGGCCACCAGAGACCCAGCCTGTTTCTAAGGAACCTCACCTTGCTCCCGTGGCCCCAGCAGTGTCCCCCCAGGTCCCTCGGGTGGGAGGCTGGGGGCACACCCAGGAGCCCGTCAGGGTTTGGGCTGGCAGGGACCCCTGAAGCCCCTCCAGTCCACGAGCAGCTCCCCTGGCTGTTTGCAGAGGGAGCAATTCTCCTGCTGGGGCTCARTGGGCTCAGGGATAGTCCATTTTATGACCACACTTGTCAGAAAACAATTAGCAAAAGGAGAATAAGGGAGATAAATAAGATGATTTTTATTTAGGAGGACTTGGGGAGCTCTGGGACAGCTGCCAGCACAGGCAGGGAGAGGGCAGAGAGTCCCTCTCCTCACTGCTGGAATGCCTGAGGTGGCTCTCCATGGACAGCACCTGTCCCAGCACCAATCCCAGCAAAGTCTCATGGCACAGATGCCTCGACTCAGGCAGGCTGAGCTGGGCAGTGGCACTGGCACCTGCGGTGCCCTGAGCAGGCGATGCAGCTGCTGCACCCCTGGGCTGGATCCACGCTGGGCAGAAAGCTCTCCAGGGCACTCCAGCTGCCTCCTTCCCTCCCACTCCTCCTCTTGCACCCTTCCCAACAATCTTTCCCTGCCTCCTGGGTGTTTCCCCTGAGAACCCACCACTTCAGTGCCACGTCATCACAGGGTGCTGCCCAGGCTCAAGGCATGGGTATCCAAGCCCCTGCAAACATAGCATGTGGCTCCTCAGCATCCCAGCCCCAGCGGGTTTCCAAAGACACACATCCTGGAAGAGTTTCTAGGATTACTGGAATAAAACATTCCTGATGGCTGGGCATGATTTTCTCAGKTCTGGGAACATGGCAGATGTCATCCTCCAGGTACTCTTGCCCGTTGTCTCCTGTTCCCACCCAGAACCATGCTCTGGCCAACTCTGCTCTGGCCCTTGCACCACTCTGCCTGGAGGAGATGGAGGAACTCCATCTCCCACAGAGGTCCTGGGATGGAGCAGTTAGTTCCTCCTGGGACCACATTCCAGCATTTTTGCCTCCACAGACTTCGCTTCCCAGGTCTGRGGCTGCCACTCTTCACTGCACCATGTGCCACTGTGATCAGGTGCCTCCATCCATCCATTGGGCCATTTGTCAGGAAAAGCAGGGCAGAACAAATGGAAAATGAAACAGCAATCCACCAGGAAAGCACAATCCCTTGCTCGCAGCTGGAGCACTTCAAAACAGCCACAGCCTCTAGAGCTCACTCCTTTCTCCTCCCCTGTTTCTGCAGAGGGTCAGTGCCCCTCGCYTCTGCCCAGCTGCCAACTGTAGGAAAATGACATTTTGGAGCTTTCAGGTCCCTTCCAGCATGGCTGGAACTGGACAGCAGAGCCTGGAACAGTCAAGGAAGAGGGTGGGAAGAGCAAGCAGACAGACAGATGGACCAGCAGACGGCACCGTTACATAAAATATGTTCCCTGGAGTGCTTGGGGTAGAAGCAGAATTTCAAAGCTCCCACTGCTGCCAGGGTGTCCTGGAGCCATGCCAGTGGCTCTTCTGTGCACAAGGAGTGGAACCCACTCTCAAACTTGGCCTGGGAAACACCTGTATTTGGGGCTCAGCCATGGGTGCCTGGTGAGACCCCAGTGCACACCCAAGCTGGGTGAGAACCGCAGTGGGGTCGTGCAGGCTCCCCTGGGCACCCTCAGAGCTACAGCTCAGCCCTCCAGCCTCTCGCTGCTGCTCATGGAGAGCCCAGAAGGAGAGGGCTGATTCTCAAACACCAACAGCTAAAGAGCTGGAGAGCCAGCCCAGGGTTTTTAGGGCTGGAGAAGGGGCCATACAGAGGGAGGGCAGCATTTTACTGGGACAAACATCCTTGTTGGGGCTCCTGGAGACAAGCACAACAGAGCACAAAGCAAGTGCAAGAGTGAGACGGAGAAGTGGCATGGACTGTAGGGGGGACTGAGACCACCAAAGACCCCTGACGCCACTGACCCATTTCCAGAAAGGTCTGGAAAAATGGACTGTGCATRAGAAATGATTTGCAGAGCAAGTGTGAACTCTCCAGGGTGGGGAAAACTTATCTATGAAAAGATCCTCCCACGTAGCCCAGGCAGTGCCCCCAGAACCCCAGACACCCTGTTAACTGGATCAATGCTGGAACGAGGACYGATGACCTCCAGTCCTTCATTCTCTCTCTTCTGCTTTAAGCCATCTCCCTCCCTCTCTTCCCTTTCACCTTACCCCTTTATCCAAAACTCAATACTGTGWGATCAGTATGTAACAATTGCCATGCCAAATAAATTATTTGCAATTTACTAATAAAGTTCTACAAGCTTTTGCTGACCCTCTGACTCTTGTCATTCCTTTCAGCCATGAGCATCTATGAATTTTGGGGCTCCCTTTCTGTTTGGGCTGGGATGCCACACACAGAAACCACTGGGAAACACCTGAAGCCACTGGACACTRTGTGCAAACACTCCCACAGAGACAAGGGTGAGAAGCAGCTCACCCTGAGCTGTGCTGCAATGCAGAGYGTGCAGCCTCTGCTCTCTCTGCAGCACTGCCCTATTATTTCCACATTATTCAATGAGAACCACAGTGGTGAAGAGCCCCGAGGAAGCTCTCTGGAACRGTCCAAGCCTCTGCACCAACTTGTCATACCAACCAAAACACCGTTCCTCCTCCACCCTAAGCCAGCACATGCTTTGTCCTTAGCAGAGGAGCCCTGGGGCAACAGCAAGATGGACACTTGGACATGGGGTGGCGTGGAAGGCAGCAGCAGTGAGGGAGACCTGGATTTTGGACAAGGAGACAYACTGGCGGCTGCCCAAAGCAAACTCTTCATGGCAAGGCAACGCAGGAGGGGACCTGTGACCAGGGATGCATGAGCTGGGCCCCCTCACCTTTGTCTCCTTGATCTTGACAGCGATGACCTGCTTGCGCTGGCGGATGATCTCCATCAGCTCATCACAYTCCTCCATCAGCTTGGCCTCATGCATGGCTGTGTTCACCTGGCCAGGAAAGCAACACACGTGTTGGGGGGACACAGCTCACAMGGTTGGGGACACACAGTTCACATGTGTTGGGGACACACAGCTCACATGTGTTGGGGGACACACAATTCATAGATTTTTGGAGGGACACAGCTCACTGGTTTTCAGGAGGGACACACAATACACATTTTGGGAGGAACACACAGTGCAGGTTTTAGGAGGGGCACACCCCACACTCACATGGCTGTGTTCACAGTGGGGCACACACAGGGTGCAGTGGGAGTGCAGGCAGAAGTTCCAGTCCTCTGCCTCCAGGGAAGACCAGTAACCATGGGAGGATGGACAGCATGGGGTAAATGCACTTTATGGAAGAGGAACTGAGCCCTAGCACTTCATTAAAGCATGCTACAGCACAGAAATCAGTTTTCCTCATTTCATACTCCCAAATCAGTTGGAAACACAGAGCAGTCCAAAGGCAGCCTTGAGTGAACCACATTTTTGCTACAGGATCTTTTTTTAAACCTGGCCAGCAGATTATGCAACACTGGAGTGGGAGACAGCTGATGTTCTGCAGAGAGCTCCATGGAGGAAAAACAGCAGAAAATCTTCCCAATCTACTGCACGTAGAGAGGGGGGGAAACAGCTCCAGGGTTTGGAGCCTGCAGCAAGCTGCTGTGGCAGCGTTGTTGTGCTGTTGTGCTGAGCTGGCAGCACCATAGACCCTCAAAGCTGTGTGCACACAGGCATGGCTGTCACCCCAACTTCCAAGGAGCACAAACCTGGACTCTCCYTCTCATTCAGCTCCTGGGTCACATGAAGGTGAGAGAAGATGAGGCTGAAGGCTGTGCACAGCAAAGGGTGGGAAGGGAATGTTGGGCCCAGGSACACAAGGGGACATTGGGGCACCTCAGCTTCGCCCTAGGTCCATCCCTCCAAACAGCTGCCACCCACCAGGGGTCCCAGAGCTTATGCCTCAAGCATTCCCCTCCCAGGATGGCTACAGGACAATGTAAATCTGTAGCCATCCAGAGCCGAAATCTGAAAATGTGCCCAGGGCAAGATACCTGCCCTCAGCATGCTCATGTTCTGCAGAGCTAAAGACAGGTAAAGTCACAGAGAACACTACAGTTCCTTTCCCAGTTGCCTTCTGCCCAAAAGGAAGCATTTTTTAGGCTGGGGTCCCCCGGGCCACCAGAGCATGTGGGGTACTACAGGCCAGCCCTGCTCCACTGATAAATCCCTGGCTCGAGAACAGCTGGGCACTGGCCAAACCACTCCRTAGGGATAAACCAGTTCCCAGGTAAATACTGGATTTGGGGGTGAAGATTCAGCAGGTCCTACAGCTGMAGGAAAGCTGGGCAGGTTTTAGTTGTAATAAGGGAGAGAAAAAATACTTCACCCATCTCAGGGCTGGGGGAAAATGTGCTAAGCACAACAGTCCTGGAATAAACTCACCTCTGGGAAAATCTTGTCCGGCAGCTCATGGGGATGATGAACAACATCTCAGCCCACAGCCTGACTCACACTCAGGCAAACCTCCTCCTCCGTGCCCCAGCAGCTCAGGGATGCAGCAGAGGATCCCATCCCACTTCCACAATCCTCAACAGGTTTTTGGCTGTGTAGCAGCTGTGCCCTGGGGACACCATGAGCTCGCAGCAAGGCTGCCGTGACACAGAGGCCACAGTCCTATGGTGCATATATAGCTTCTCCTGCTGTCCCCACAATGGGGACACTGGGCTGGTACCACCTCTATTTTACAAACTCAGCTTCTCCACAGGCTTGTTATCTACTCCCATCACTACAACACAATTTGGCCATCTCAACCACTCTCTGTGCAGCCCCTCATGCACCAGAGTCACTTCAAGGAGCAGCACAGGCTCAGTGCCCTGAGGGCACTTGCAGCGCCCTTCTTCAGGATGAACCCCTCAAGGCCTTGGTGGCACCATTCTCTGGACATGCCATGAGATTGACACTGAATCTGAGGGTCAGACTACATGGGGATTGAATGTGCTTGCCTMTGTGCCATATCCACAAAGAGCTCGAAAGCAAAATTCCCTCGAATCAGATTGATGGGGAGCACAGATATTTTCTGCTTCACAGTTTACTGTGCTCTCTGTGAAGGCGCCTCAGAGGGCCCGGCTGCACATTCAGCATGGCAGAGAAATGTTATTTGAACTGTTATTTTAAGCGGAGTGTCTGACAAAGCTGAAAACTTCCAAACTGTCAAAAATGACAATTTAGAGGTCTGAGACTCTGAGGATCAGACAGAAATACCAAGTATCTTTCAATTCATTCTAGGGCAAGTCATAAAGACATTGGAACTGAATTCAAAGGAAGTGGTTTGGAAGGACATCCAGCCATGTCCCTGCTCCATCCCTGGTGGGTTCTCAGACCCAAAGTGTGGCCCATCAGAGCAGCAAGTGCTGCTGACTGTCACCAGAGCTCTGCAAGGGCATCCTGGCTCCTTCTCTGTCTGCCAAACATCCATTTGCAGTTTTCCCAGACTCACTCTAAGCCCACTGAGCCCTGGGGAAGAGGAAGCCCATGAGAGACAGCTCYAACAAAGCCATTCCTACAGCAGTGATGCACAGGCAGAGAGAAGCAGGACAACACCAACGACACAGAGCACTGGCGCGCAAGACAAGTGGTGCTGCAGTGCCAAGTGGGTTTTCTTTTTCCTTATTTTGGCTCGAGGTTCAGAGCGTCTTAGCTCCCTTCTCCTTCTCTTTGCACAKTGTGACAGTGGCTGCCAGCTACTGGCGGCACACTCGGCCCTGCTGGCACTCACAAAAAGGGCTTCTGCACTCACTTCCTCSTGCCAGATCATCAGGACATTACTGAGGGAGTAAAGAACGCTGATGCTGCCTGCAGAAACCATGGGGGTTTGGAAGCACCAGCCCCAAAGTCCCAGCTGCTCTGAGATGCAGGTGGTGAAGGACCAGCTGCAGCTCCCTGGGCATCCCAAGTGCTTTGCTGGGGCAAACGGCTCCAGCCAGCACATGCAGCACCCCTTGTCCTGCTGCACCATCCCTGCATCCCACTGTAGCATCCCTGCATCCTAGAGCAGCATCCCCACATCCTACTGCAGCATCCTTGCATGCCGAGTCACATCCCACCACAGCATCCCACTGCAGCATCCCTGCATCCTRSMGCAGCATCCCACTGCAGCATCCCCACATCTCACTGCAGCATCCTACTGCAGCATCCTGAAGCAACATCTCCCATTCCACCTCAGCATTCCTGCATCCCACTGGCTGCTGGGCCCACGGGATGGCTTGGGGGAGGTGCAGGAGAAGCACAGGGCTTGCACCCCCCACAAGGCCTGGGATGCCCAAGAGTGACATGTGTTCTTCTGTGTTCTCTTAGACACTAGCAAAATGCCCCTGAATCCACAGCTGCAATCCTGCCAGTCTGGGGTTTTGTCCTGTAAGGAGGTGGTGGTTCAGCTGCATGCTCAGGGTCACTCAGCTGAGCCCTTTTTTCAGGCTCAGTGTCACAAAGCTGATGAGCCTTGTCACAGGCTTGGTGTCCCYTGGCAGAGCCGTGTTTCCATGCTCGGTTTCATTCAATCTTCCACCAAAAGCACCTGCTGCCCCCAGCACAGAGCAGGGGGCAGGCCCTCCTGCCCAGAACCAGCTCAGCAGCCCATGGCTCTTCTCAGCGGCTCCCAATCAGGCCAACCTCTTCAGAGCCTACAGACCCCTGGGAGCCATCCCTGTGTCCTCCATTGCTTGGGACTAAACTCTTCAAAAATACAGCCCCCCAAAGTCCTGAGTGATGTTTCCCCCCACACTCATCTCTGCGTCCAGAGTGATCCCCAGGACAGGACTAAGGGGTGATCCATGCATTCCCTCCCTCGAACTGGGAGCTGCCCCGAGCACCTCCCTCAGCCCCCTCCTGCCCTCACCCACCTCCACTTGTTGGCAGATCTGTATCAGCTTGGCCATCTGGTTTTCCAGTTCACTGTTGCGTTTAACCAGGTTGGTGAGATTTGTCTCCAGGGTTTGCTGCGGGTCCAGAAAYAGGAGAAAGAGGAAAAATACAGAGATCAGCAAAGCTGGAGTGTCCTAATACCCTGCCAGCAATCAAGACCCTCTGCCACCCAGCACGCTGCCTGAGGGAGGGACACTGGAATAACTCTGAGCAAAGGCTCTGGGGGTCCATGGAAGCCCCTGCCCATGCCAGTGGGCAGTGCTGGGAGCAAGACATCGAGCCCAGCACTGTGGTAACCTTGGGGTGTTACCAGTAGAGAGGACAGCGTGGGTGTTCTGCCCTTTGCACGACCAGTTTTGTTCTGCACAGGGTAAAGGAGATGATCGAAACCCTGATGAGCCATGGGAGAGGGACATCTCCTCTGCCAGTCACCTCAGCCAGAGCAACCACGGCACATGCAGGGAGMACTGAACTGCACTGTGCTGGATCACAGTGCCCAGGCACGCTGCCCTTTGCTCACCAGAGCACATCTCAGCCAGCAGATCACGGTCACTGGCTCTTGATCAGTGGATCATGGCCAGTGCATCACAGCCAGCAGATTACGACYGGAGCAGGACAGGAACCCCTGGGGCCTGCTGTGGTGTCCACAGGCTGCAATATCCTGGGAGGAGGTGATCCAGTGAAGAGCAGATGAAGACCCCATTTGAGGGGATATCAATATCCAAGGCCATGGGGGAACACATGATTTGTGGGTGTTAACAATTCCAGCATTGCCAGCTCCATGTGCTCTGCTAGTGGGAATGTTTTGTAACAAAGCGCTCGCTACCTGTTGCAGCACTTGGCAGGAAATGATCTCCGATTAATATTTTAAACTCCAGGCTGGAAGAGGGTCCCTGAGGTGGTTCATTCATCCTTGGGTAAGAACTGCAGTCTGAGGCTTTCATCTGATGCCAGCAGACCCATAAACATGGCCCCTTTCCGCACAGATGGGTAATTGGGGGCTACTGAGCCAGGAGAACTTGAATCACAGGCACAGAGTAATCATTCCTGAGAAAACCACTGGCTCCTAAAATACTCCGAGCTTGTTTGCAACCCTGACAATTGCTGGCCAAGGGCAAGTAAGGCAGAACACAGGAACAGACTGGAGAAATGGAATAAAACCCAGGGAGCCTTCGTTATGCCGGAACAGTTCGCAGAGCAGGACTGTATGGAAAATGGAGACGCCAGCTGCTCCWGCCCCCCTCTCCATACAGCCCAATATTATAAACACCATTTCACTACAGCACTGAACATTTCACTTGCTAATTACCTCCCTCATCAACAGCTTGGCTGCACTGAGGTTGCAGCTTTGAGCTCACATCAATCTGCTTTAATCTTCAGGGGTGTGATGGAGGGCAGGGTGGGGGGCTGGCGGTAYAGCTTTGAAGCACATGAGCCCAAACCCCATTTGCAGCATCCCAAGTTTTCCAGGGGATGGAATCACTTCTCCCACCCATAAACATACACAAATCCTGCTCCTGAGCACCAATCCCTTCATCATGCATCCTCTGTGGTAACGCTGAGGCAATGGGTGGTGCTTTGCTRGTGTCTGTGGTGGTTCCACAGCCCTTTGCTGCTCCCCAGTTACTCACTGCACCCACAGACCTTTGCTGCCAACCCTTCTCCATCCCAGGAAAGTACAGATGGAATGTTTCCATCTGTTTGATGTGCTGACACAAATAAAATGGGCTTGAAGCCTGGATCACACGAGCTGGTTTTTTTGTAGGTGTATATAAATTATAGCAATTACAGGGGTTGGGCTTTAATTGCTTTATAAAATGCCTGTCATTTCCCCAAACCTCCAYCTCCTGTCCTAAAATACAAATAGGTGATTTCTCTACAACTGGAGAGAGAAGTGAGAAAAAGTGATAAAAAAGGCCTTGTGCAGGAGTCACTGGTGCTTCATGGGGCAAAGGGGCTGGGTCACCTAGGGACAGCGGGACCAGACAGGGATGTGCCCAGACAGGGGCACTGTGGGACAAGGGCTGAGCCTCCCCCAACCCCGAGTGTCAAGGGCCCACGGGATCAAATCCTCCCACAATTCCAACAGAGCAGCTCAGCACCTGCACCTCTTTACCTGCCAGTGACCACATGCACAATAAACCCATTCCCACCCAGCCAGGGCAGCAGAATCATGCAGCACTGACCTGTGAGCACCAATGCTCATGTGTGTTCAGTTACAGGCATGATAGGCAACAACTTGTCCTTTTTCTTAGCAAATAACAAGCAAGCAGCTATACTAAACATGGATTTCTGTTTGAAGAAGGTATCCAGGTTGCAGGCTCAAGACAATTTCAGGTACCATAAACATGTCGCGTCCTCCTGGTCCCTGTGTTTTACCAAWTACAGCCTTGCTTGCACCTGGCCAGAGCTGCTCTCCATGGCTGGTCCCCAGCCCATCACCAGCCTGGAACCTGGCTCACCCTGGGAAATGCCATCAGCCTTGTGGCTGTAACCAGCTGAGAGATGGAGCAGAGCAGGCTTTGAGCCCCAAGCAGGTGGCCAGAGCGGGGGTCCCACATGTCACACAATCCAAGGCTGAGGGGCTCTGAGTCCCCAGGGGTTTGGGCCACGCAAGCCTCAGGTCTCCTCCAGCAGCATCCACACCTGTGGGTGTGGGATGGGAGCACCTGGAGAAGGCTGGAGCTGGAAAAGCCTCGGAGACAGGAGTGCAGRGTTTGTGGGTGGCTGCTGGTTGGGGGTGCAGTCCCTCAGAGCTGCTCTGAGCGGCGAGGGACTCAGCCTGGCACAGGGTGTGCTTTGGTTCTGCCTTATTACAGAGAAGTTTCTGCATGTACTTCAYGGGAAGGATGCCAGAACTGGAGAGTGATACTTGCAGTGATTTACTCATGGCTTTTCTCACTGCCCCTGTTTATCCATAATCATTTCCAATAATGGAGGCAGATCCCTGCCCTGATCATCCTGCGCGCCACAAACACAAATCACGTGTGCATCCACAAACCCACGTGGTAGGCACACAGGCACCAAGTTAAACCCACTCCAAAATGATCCCTGCATGCCAAAGCAGCAGGAGAACCAGTTCCTGGAAGCCACCACGATGCAGCAGCCTCACCTGAACAGGGCAGGGGACGAGCACCCGCAGCAGCTGTCTGGGCCTGCTGCTAGGCTGAGGATGCACACCCAAGCCCTCGGGGCTGAGGATGTGCTGCCAGGGCCCAGCATAGGACGGGATTGCTGCTGGGTGTCCTCTGACTTATTTGGAGCAGCATAGGGAAGCCAAATGTCTCCAGGACACCTGGAGTCTGCCACAGAGCTCCTGAGGGAGCTGCTCATTTTTTAACACCACAAAGTTGTTCATAGCATGAGGCAGCTGCAATTGCACYGGAGCCACAGGGACTTCCACCCATGTCCCTGTTCCTGGCCAAAATGCTGCTCTGCACTGAGCTCCTGCCCAGGCACCCCCTGGCTCTGTGGGGACAATGGAACTGATGTGGTTTGTCTCAGGGATGCTGGAGTAGCTTTCCAGGGAAGCAGCAGCTGGACAGGGTGACCTGAAAGCAGCTCCCACCAGGATCAGTCCAACCCCATGTGCTCTGAGGGGATTTCAGAGCGGGACGATGATGGTAGGGGTTGGTATAGCATCCTCCCCCACCCCCGGCAGCTGCCCCTGCACTGCCAAATTAAAATCACAGAATCGTTTGGAAGGGACCGTAAAGTTCATCTCATCCACTCCCTGCCATGGCCAGGGACAACTTCCACCATCCCAGGCTGCTCCAAGCCCTGTCCAACCCAGCCTTGGAYACTTGCAGGGATGGACAGCCCTGCACAGACCGGGCTCCTCTCAGTGGCCACAGCAGGGCTGGAGCCCGGCACTGCTCCCACTGCCACCTCCCCTTCCCACAGGCAGCACAGAGGGCTGAACATGGCACCACCCACTGCCAGCCCTGGCAGCGGCACATCCAGGTGACTCAAACTGAACGAGGGGAAATTAGGGTTAGATATAAGGAAGAAATTCTTCCCTGTGAAGCTGGTGAGACTCTGGCACAGGGTGCCCAGAGAAGCTGTGGCTGCCCCCGTATCCTGGAATTGTCCCAGACCAGGCTGAACGGGGCTTGGAGCACCCTGGGATGGTGGAAATTGCCCCTGCCCAGGAAGATGGGTGGAAGGAGATGAGCTTAAGGTCCCTTTTAACCCAAACCATTCTGTGATTCCGCAATTCAAAATTTAGAATCAATTCCCACCACCAAGAAACACAAAAAAAAAATTCAGGGAAAAATATGCAAAGCCAGTCAGCTACTGGGCTTCACTCAGAGAATGTCCCTAGACAATGGCACAAGTGACAAAGAGACACGACTGAGCTTCCACGTGTGACACTAATGCATTTTAAATTGCTTTGGAGCAAAACAGACTGAGCAAGAGCTGAAACCTCTGTCAGCATTCACCCCACTGGCAGAGCTGACCTAGAAACTGAGCAGCTCAGCACAACACGGGGCTGGGGGGACTCTGGGGCTGCTAAAGAGTCAAGAGCAGAGCCTGAGCCAGGCAAAGGGGTCCTGGCAGTGACACCATGGCATGGAGGGCATGGGGACCAAGGGGATGCACTCAACCAGCACACACCTACGGGTGCACGACATGCCCCATGTCCCCTCATCAGTCTGAGCAATAAAAGAGCAGCTCCAAATCCATCCATTCAGCAGGTTTAATCCCTGATAATTTATTAGTTTAAACTCTGACTGGCTCTTTCTGTGCTCACCTTCACTTGGGAAGCAGCTCTGGAGGGAAGCTCACTGTGGGAACGGGGCTGGGGATGCAGGTGACACAGGGCAGGCTTGTCACAGCCAGGGTTCCCAGCCACATCTCTCCTGAGTCACCCATGCTACCTGGGCACACAGCGCTCCAGCCATAGCCCCAGTGCCCAGCCTGGGGGTGGTCCCAGCCCATCCCCTTCACCTCACGCACAGAAAGCACAGGGTAATCCCAGTCTGGCAAGACCTAGGGCTGGATCCTGCTCACAGTGGGGTAAATCCACCATTTTGGTGCCCATRCTCCGATTTGTAAATGGGATGAAAGGAAG